CAAACTCGTCAAACTCGTCAAACACGTCAAACTCGTCAAACTCGTCAAACTCTCTGATTTGGCGAATTTGTCAATTCTGAACCATGAGCATATCAATAAACACCCCGTATAACAAATTTGATAGACAAAAAACAATCGGAGTTAACTTAATTGAACACCTTATTTTGTTTAGCAATGCATGTTCCCCCAAACAAACCCCAAATGTTCTATTACACTTTATGTTACACATTGGTCTAGGGTAGAATTTATCATTTTTCCAGATGCTCTCCTTATAACAAAAACACGCTCAATACGTCATAATAGACCCTGTACACAACTTTGAACCATCGGAATTTAATTTTGACCACAGGTTGACCGCGTTGACTCGTCAAACTCGTCAAACTCGTCAAACTCGTCAAACTCTCTGATTTGGCGAATTTGTCAATTCTGAACCATGAGCATATCAATAAACACCCCGTATAACAAATTTGATAGGCAAAAAACAATCGGGGCTAACTTAATTGAACACTTTATTTTGTTTAGCAATGCATGTTCCCCCAAACAAACCCCAAATGTTTTATTACACTTTATGTTACACATTGGTCTAGGGTAGAATTTATCATTTTTCCAGATGCTCTCCTTATAACAAAAACACGCTCAATACGTCATAATAGACCCTGTACACAACTTTGAACCATCGGAATTTAATTTTGACCACAGGTTGACCGCGTTGACTCGTCAAACTCGTCAAACTCGTCAAACTCGTCAAACTCTCTGATTTGGCGAATTTGTCAATTCTGAACCATGAGCATATCAATAAACACCCCGTATAACAAATTTGATAGGCAAAAAACAATCGGAGCTAACTTAATTGAACACCTTATTTTGTTTAGCAATGCATGTTCCCCCAAACAAACCCCAAATGTTCTATTACACTTTATGTTACACATTGGTCTAGGGTAGAATTTATCATTTTTCCAGATGCTCTCCTTATAACAAAAACACGCTCAATACGTCATAATAGACCCTGTACACAACTTTGAACCATCAGAATTTAATTTTGACCACAGGTTGACCGCGTTGACTCGTCAAACTCGTCAAACTCGTCAAACACGTCAAACACGTCAAACTCGTCAAACTCGTCAAACATGTCAAACTCGTCAAACTCGTCAAACATGTCAAACTCGTCAAACTCGTCAAACACGTCAAACTCGTCAAACTCTATGATTTGGCGAATTTGTCAATTCTCAACCATGACCATATCAATAAACACCCCGTATAACAAATTTGATAGGCAAAAAACAATCGGAGCTAACTTAATTGAACACCTTATTTTGTTTAGCAATGCATGTTCCCCCAAACGAAACCCTAATGTTCTATTACACTTTATGTTACACATTGGTCTAGGGTAGGATTTATCATTTTCTCACACGCTCTCCTCACAACAAAAACACGCTCAATACGTCATAATAGATCCTGTACACAACTTTGAACCATCGGAATGTCATTTTGACTACAGGTTGACCGCGTTGACTCGTCAAACACGTCAAACTCGTCAAACTCAGAAACCCCTAACATGAAACCCCGGATGCGTGTTACGACTTTGACCAGTGTTATGAGTTGATTAGTGTTTACGATGAGTTTGACGAGTTTGATCAGTTTGACGACTGTTTTTACCATATAATACACGAGTGAATTAGTCTAAATATGATTTGATAATGTCATTACATGCACGAACATAATATTATGACTCATACGTCTGTGATATCATTGATGTACTGACCGAACCTACCGAACATGATCTTTTTTTTTTTAGTCTCACCAGGTCCAGAAAATCGGTTTTGTTTAAACCTTCCACTTACTCGTTTTTCTTCCACTATAAGCGGCAATACCACTACATCTACGTGTATTGGATGAGTTTTTGGAGATTTCACTTGTTTCTTGCAGCAAATTTACCAAAAAATCGCGCTGGAGAAGAGATATTCAAGAGAGAGAAGAAGAAAAACTCGAAGAGAGAGAATGCGATGTATGGCGGGAGACAACGATAAAGAGGAGAGAGAAAATGAGTAAAAAGTAGATCTATATTTTATTTATTTTAGTATATTATTATAATATTATATAAATAAAGGAAGGGTATTATAGGGATTCTATATTTATAAGGGTATATTTGATGTTGCCGTTTTTTTGTTACTGTGCGAGGGTATGGGCTGTAAGTGAAATCGACATTTAAGGGTATTTTTGCAATTGCCCCTGTTGTAAGTATCTATTTGGCACGGAACTCGTGCCTGAAACGTGTCAAGTTCTGGGTGAACTTGTCCCTGTTCTTCGAATCTAGGCTCCGAGTAATGTCTGCCATGAGATTGTCGAAACATACTGAAAGTCTCTGATGTTGATCCACTGCCTGCAGACCATATATATATATCAATAACATTCTCAATGCATTTACAAAATGAACGAGTGAAACTCAGTACAGATGGAAAAGAACGAGTACGAGAGTTTGGGTCACCTGGGAAGCAATGATTTTAGCCTTCAGATCAGAGAAAATCTGATGAATGCAATAACAACAAGTCAGATGACAAGACGGCAAAGCTCGTTAGCGACGAAGATAAGGCCGAGCAGAATAAAAATATATCATAGACACGTTGGCTCCTCAGTTAAAAACGATCATTACCTGTTCGCTGATAA